AACTGTTGCAATGAAACCCCTCAGAAACTAATTTATGCTTTAAAAGGAGATAAATATCATGTTTTTTTTTTAAATCACAAGACCCAACATTGTAAAGATGCCAGTCCTCAAATTACTCCTAAATTTAATGCAATCTCAAATAATATCTCTGTAATTATTTCCATGAAAAATCCAGTTCAATTAACTTCTTGATCAAGAAATGATTCAAATTAGTATTGGTTCTTACCTCTTGAATTATGAGATGCATCTGATGCTTAGGTGTGTGTGTGTGTGTGCATGCATGCACACCCGTGCCAGTACTGGGGCTTGAACTCAAGGTCTAGGCACTGTCTCTTAGCTTTTTTCACTCAAGGCTGGTATTCTACCACTTGTAGCTCCACTTCCAGCTTTTTGGTGGATAATTAAAGATAAGAGTTTCATGGACTTTTCTGCCTGGGCTGGCTTGGAACCTTGATCCTCAGATCTCAGCCTCCTGAATAGCCAATTACAGGCGTAAGCCACTGGCACCCAGCTTTCGATGCTTAGTTTTAACTGGGATCCCATTCTTCACTTCAGACCTGTGATAGGAGTGAAAATCTTCCCAGGCAGACAAAGAGCAGTAAAGGTTCCTGGTAAATCATTGCGATCCATAGTTGGCTTGCAAAGTGACTTAAATTAATAGCAGTTTTCATTTCTAGCACAATGGTATTTTGGGAAAAAAATCAATGTTTTTACATTCCACTATCTCCAAAATGCATACACATTATATGGAGGACATGCAAAAAAACAACTTTCAAAAAACCATTATATCAACCGCAGCAACATGCTGAAATCTCATTTCATGACAAGCCCTTATTTCTCTTATTATTAGTTCTAAAGCTTCAATCTCAAGTCTCAAACTCCTTCTGATTGGCACAACCATTATGAATAAACAATTAACAGAACAGGGCATCCTAGGAAGCCTAGCTACTTAGGAGGCTGATATTTAGAAGACGGCAATTACAAGTCAGTCTAGGCTCAAAGATCTACAAGATTCTATCTCCAAAATTACCAGCAAAAAGCTGGGCTGGAAGTATGGCTCAAGTGTTAAAGCACCAGCTGAGCAAATAAATTGATCAAGTTCAAGGCCTTGAGTTCAAATCCTAGATCCCTTGCAATAAAAATATAAATAAATAAATAAAGACAGAAAGAGAGGGGGAAAAACTTAATTCTAAAATTTTTGTCACCTTTGACTTGAGGGGTTTTGTTTTTTTTGTTTTGGTCCTGGGGCTTAAACTCAGGGCCTGGGCTTTTGTGCATAATGATAGTGCTCTATCACTTGAGACAGAGCTCCACTTCTGGCTTTCTGATGAGAGTCTCATGACCTCCTGAGTAACTAGGATTACAGTCATGAGCCACTAGCACCTGGCTCCTTAGAGCATTTCTCATCATAGATCTCGCTTACATTCAAAGGAAGGACAAGAGAAAAAGACTAACATCAAATGAAAATAGTGTTTGGTTTGCTATTAAAAAGTATATTAAGGGGCTAGGAAGGTGGCTTAGCAGTACAGTACTTGCCTTGCATGCATGAAGCCCTGGGTTCAATTCCTCAGCACCACATAAACAGAAAAGGCTGAAAGTGGCACTGTGACTCAAGTGGTAGAGTGCTAGCCTTGAGCAGAAGAGCTGAAGGGCAGTGCCCAGGCCTAAAGTTTAAGCCCCATGACCAACAACAACAACAACAAAAAAATGTATGTCAAGCCCAACTTCCCTTGACAGAATCTCAAGAGGCTGAGATCTGAGGATCACAAATCAAAGCCAATCAGCGCAGGAAAGTCCATGATACTTCAATTCACCACCAGAAAACTAGAAGTGGAGCTGTGGTTCAAAGTGATACAGCACTAGCCTTGAGTGTCCGCGACAGCATACAGCATACAGGCCCTGAGTTCAAGCCTCATCATACATACATACATACACACACAAACACATACACAAAGTCAAACCAGATACCACTGCCTGATGCTTGTAATCCTAGCTTCATCAGAAGTTGAAACCAGGAGGATAGCAGCTTGTGACTAGTTTAGTCATACACAAAAGACCACTTCTCAACCAGTAGCTAGGTACCATAGCAGGGCCTATCATCTCAGCTACATGGGAAGCTAATTTTTGGGAGGATTACAGCTGCAAACCAACCTAGGCAGAAAAGTTTGTAAGACTCAATCTCAATGGAAAACAAACAAAAAACTAGACTTGGAGGTGTGTGACTGTTATCCTAGCTATTCCGGGAGTCTTAAACAGCCTGACTGCAATCCAGAAGTGCCCTTCTGTAGGAAGGAAGACCCTATCTTACAACAGTCCCAAGGTGGCTAGGCCAAGGCCATGAGTCGACAGTAAAGTGCCTGACTAGCAAGCATGAGGTCCTGGGTTCAAACCCTATTACCGTCTTCTGTCCCCCCTCCCAAAAAAAGGTCACCAATAGATGTGCATGATGACAGATACCTGTAATGGCAGGAGTCAGGAGATTTAGGCTGGAGGACTCTGAGCTTGAGGTGTGCCTGGGCTACATGAGAAGACCATTCTTCCCCATCTATCCCCCCAAAAAAGGAAAAAGAGAGATGCCAGAACATGAATTTTAACTCTGTGGGTGACCTTCCAACAAGTTGCTCAGAAAGAACCCAAGCACACAGTCCCTAAAGCACATGTGATAACTTGTAGCCAAACATACAGGCTGTCTTGTGAACAAGGGGATCCAGATTAGAAGCAGCATGGACCTCATCCTCCAGCATGTCAGAACCCAAAACAACTGTTCACCCAGCCCTGGGTCAGCAGGCATCATATTAAGTGCCAAATGGGTGAGGAAAAAGTGTCACTGCTACTGCAGGTTCTGGGTTGACTCCCCTGAACTTTTCCTTGCTCACTTTTTTTTTCGCGGGGGGGCCCGCGGGGAGGGGAAGGTACCGGTACTGGGCTGAAACTCAGGCCTGTTTTCTTGCTTGGCATTTTTCATGTAAGGCTAGTGCTCTACCATTTGAGACATACCTCTACTTCCAGCTTTTGGGTGGTTACTAGAAATAAGTTACTGGAAATAAATACATGGACTTTCGTGCCTGGGCTGGCTTTGAACTTCTGAGTCCTCAGATCTGAGCCTCTTTAGTAGCTAGACTACAAGAATAAACTGCCAGCACCTGGGTCAATTACTTTCCATATAACATTTTTTAGAAGATTCCCAGGGAAATTGTTCTCTCATTACTGTTACCTAGTGTTTTGTTGTGTGTGTTGTCTATGGGTATGTGTTTTGTTTTTATGAGGGGGTGAGCTGAGATTAAACTCTGGACCCTGTGCATGCTAGGCTAGTGTAATAACACTAGGCTGCAGCACTGTTCCTGTATGGCTTTTTTGTTTATGCCTTTAGCAGAAATAGCTACTGGTGTTTTACATACATAGACATTCTCCTGTACCTTCTTACAATAGCACTCAAACCTGAAATAATTCTACTTCCAGAGGTAAGGAAACTTAAGTTTGAAGACTATATGATACTTAGTCTCAGTAGTGATATCATTGAATACAGTCTAATACAAATACAGTTACTAACTGTAACTTGAAATTTGGCTAAGACAGAGAAAATAGAATATCTGAGACTTCTAATATTTTTAGCCAGTCAGGGCATCCCACTGTAATTCTAGCACTCAGGTGTCCTAGGCAGGAGGATCACAAAGTCATAAGTCATAATTAGTCTACACACACACACACACACACACACACACACACACACCTAGCATGTCCATGTCCTTCTCAAATAAAATGTAACTATGCTGTAATATACTTATTACTTTACTGTTTAATGGCTTGTTTCTTTTGGTGGCAGTATTGGGGCTTTAATTCAGTGCCTGGGCACTATCCTTTAGCTGTTTCACATGAAGCTCTTCCAAAAATCTCTTCTGAGATTTTTGCCTCCTCAGGCTAGATTGAAACTGTGATCCTCAGATCTCAGTCTCCTGATAGCTAGGATTACAGGTATGAGTCATAAGCAGTACCTGGCTTAAATGTTCATTATTAGACAATGTTGCAACCAAAAACAAATCTAAGCTAGAAAGATAAGCATTAAGAGTAACAATTATGCTCACCACAAAAGAATATGGTATTTGAGAGAGATTCTTTTAAAATAATAACAAAAACATTCTCTAGGGCTTTGGGATATATTTTTTTAACTGGAAATGCCAAATAAATAGCTGTTCAATGATGTTAAGGAAAGGCCAGTAAGAACTGCAACATTAAAATGAATCACTGGTAACTCAAGGGAAAGAGATGTGGCTTATGAGAACATGACATATACACTATTTTAAGGGTGTAAAGCCACACTATACACAGATCCAGGCAGATCACAGAAGATATCTATTCCCACTGCACAGGGCCCATACACATGGGGAATGAAAAGAAACAAGGCTAGCAGGTTTTTGTTGTTTTTAAAATTCCTTTTAAGAATTCCCAGAGGCCATGTGTGGTGGCATGTAATAACTACAGTAACTTGGGAGCAGAACATCAGAAGGATCAAGGTTCAAGGCTAGCCCACGAAGAAAGTTATGGAGATCCCATCTTAACAAATAAGCTGAGTGTCACAGATCATATCTGCAATTCCAGACATGGGAAGGCTAGGTAAGAGGGTGCAGGACATAAAATAATTAAGGCAAAAAAAGGGTTAATGTATGGGGCTCATGTGGTAGAGTTTTTGCCTGGCAAGTGTAATGCTCTGAATTCAAACCCTCTTATTCAAAAAAAACACAAATATGAATACACAGAGAATGGTTGTTGGAGAAGGAAAAGGTGAAGGAGATAAAGGATTTTAAGATTTTAGGAAGTTTGTTCTCTAGCAAAATTTTTATTCCACGACACCAGATGGGTTAGGATTACTTGAGAACTCTCTTCAGCATAATTCCTCAGCTGTAAAAATCCAGATCTTTCTCCATTGCTCAAACATAAACGCACAATTTCTCCTTTTGGGGAGAGGGTTATGCTGAAAATTAGTGTTGCATAAATACCGTTACCTTTTCTGGTGAAAAACTCCTTGGAATATTGCCCCAACATAGCGTATTTTCGAGGGACTTTCCCCAGCAGTTCAATGATCAATGCTATGTGATCTGCATTGGGAAACATTGCCAGCAAAACAGAAACACACGACAGTTTAATCAGTACACTGCATGCAGACACTACCACCGCCCGCGCAGACAGAAACTGAGCGCGATTGGAATGATCAATAGCACAGGCTTTCCTCATGTGGCTTGACTTCAAGACCCAAAGCTGGAGGGTAACCATGTGTGCTGGGCACCAAGGGGGAGCCAAAGCACAAGGTGACCACAGCACAGGTCAAACTTGGTCTTCCATCAGTATTTAAATCAGAAGAGGAACTCTGTTGTGCTGCTTTTGGAATTTAGAAGAAATGCCTTTGTCACCATTAATGCTGCCATCAGCAGCTGCTGTTCCGTTTCTGTCTGCATCGTGCGCTTTTCAAAAAGAAAGGGTACTACCTCTGCGATTGAAGAATTCCCGAGAATATTTTCCAGATAGAGCAAAGTGCCTTGGGATACTGCCTAGCAGCTCTATGATGTGGGCTATGTGATCTATGAAGGAAAGATAAAAAGATACAGGAATGGGAAGGGCAAGGGAAAGATGGGATAAAAGAGGGAAAAAGTGAAATTAGTAAAAAAAAAATCAGAAACAGATTCAAATCAACAGTGTTTGCAGCACATCCATGCAGAGGTTCTTGAGACTGGCACACCTTAGGTACCATTTAGAGAACCATCAGTGACTGATGCCAGTTCACCCCAGGCTACCCAAGTCTCACAAGCAAGTAAACATGGAGATGGTCAGATTACAGAAGGAATTTAAGCCAGAATTCCCTGCATTTTGTTTTGTTTTTTGGTTTGTTTTTGTTGGCCCTGTAGCTTGAACCCTGTGGCTTGGCCTGGGCACTGTCCCTCAGCTCCTCAGCTCAAGGCTAGCACTCTACCACTTGAGCCACAGCTCTACTTCTGTTTTTCTGGTGGTTAACTAGACATAAGGGTCTCACAGACATTCTTGCCTGGGGTGGCTTTGAACCATGATCGCCAGATCTCAGCCTCCTGAGAAGCTAGGATTACAGATACAACTATTTACTGGTGCCTGGCCAGAATTCCCTGATTTTTAACTCAGCTCTCAAACAGGACAACAAAGTGAGCAGCAGAGCCATGGATAAAAGGACAATGGAAAGGCCTTGGGTTTGTTCAGTCTGTCCTGAAGGGCAGGAGAGGTAGCCTGAACTCCCAAGGGCTTTCTGAGGGCTGCCTATGTCTGATACACACTGCCCATTCATTGAAACTGAAGGGCTTCAAACTGTGAGGATATCATCTAAGTTGGTGTTGGAAAACCAAAACATGGTTCTGTTTCAGTATATAACATATATACTGAATATATAATTCTCTAGAAGTTCAGGAGGAATAGACTTTGTCTGAAGTATTCAGTAGGCAGCAACACTCACCTTCATCTCTGGAATAGTCTTCCCCAGAATGTGGTTCAAACAAATAATCTCCTGTTGCCAGCTCAAATGCCTAGGATACAATAGACAACATGCTGAATACTTCAGAAATAGTCCCCAAGCCAATAGAAATTCTCCTTAGACCTACATTTCATGAGGCTCTTAATCAAAGCAAAAAAAACCCCTAAAACAGCTCAGTTCCCTATTTTTTTCTTTCATCAACTTGAAAGAAGCTGCAGGAATATTTTTACATCTCTTTTAGTGGAAGATGTAAGGGCTATGTATTCTTTTGCAAGAAGCAGAATGAAGCCACCCACTGACTCAGAAGCACCATGTGCAGGCCAGGGGCTCAATGTTAACACATTCTGTAAGTGGTAGAATAAGGGTTCAACCCAGGATTTAACCAGGACTATCTGAGTTCAGGACCTGCCTTCATCATCCAGCTTACCTGACCCCTGCAACAGCAATATTGCTGCTTTCTTTAAGCAAAGGCTTTGGCTATTAGTGATCAAGGACTATTTTTAGCATCATATCATCTACTTCATCCTCATCTTCATTTCTGACTCTAGCAAAAGAAAATTTAGACCCAAACAGACACTGTTCCTCTGGCTCTAGGGTCAGATGAAGCAAACCACCCTGCAGCACCTCTTGAAGATATCAAGGACAACTGCACCCAAGTTCCACTTGCCAACCCTTAGCACACCAGTAAGTAGAGAAGACCATGTTCATTCTTTATTATATCATCATCATCATCATCATCATCATCAGTAGTTGTACAAAGGAACTGTTTATTGTATTGTACAAAGCTGTTATGAATATACTGCATCTTGATTGATGTCACCTTTTCACATTTTCCCCCACTCTCCCAATCTTTTCATATCCCTGCTCTAAGAAAAAGCTCAAAATACTGAGTTGCATTCTGCAGCAATGTGCAAAAGATAGCAATTGCTATTGCTCTGGTAATCAAATACAAGGATTTTTTTAAATGTTTAAACAAAGAATATGTTAAATCCCATTTCTAATTTATCTTATACTTATTGCTACTCCTTTCAGTGACATTAGTGGATAGATGACAGGCCAATGTCCTACTTTCTCAAAGGACTGCCCTCCGCACTTTTATGAGGAGCCATCCCTGAAGGGTATACATGTATGCGCTCAATTCTCTTCCTTCCTTTCAATGACGTGAGTGTTGGGTTGGGAAGGCCCCTTAAGAGAGGACTTGTATTTGACAGACCAGGACTGGTACAATTAGATCAGCACCACATCTTTTCTCTCATATGCTTTTTTATTTTTTTAAGAGAAGATGTCATAAATCCTATCTTGCTGAAGGAGATAATCAGGGTGCCAAGGCTGCTGCTAGTTGCCACTGAGATTAGCACTAGGTAATAAACATGGGGTCCTGCCCTGAACTACCCTTGGATAAAACAGGATGTGGCCATGTCAGTATCAGCAGGGAGACTACCACCCTTCCCAGAGCTGTAGATACCGGATGGCACCCCCAAAGTGCCTGGGAAGTCTCCTCATGAAGCCTCTCCTCACTCAGTAAACAATCATAACAGCTAGGCCAATCTTCAATGGGGGAAAGAAAACTTTCCATTTGTCCCCAAATCCAAATGGTATATACCTCCATTACATAAGTCAGAAAAGTCTTTCTACCTGGCATAACTGCTAAGCCAGGAGGAAAACGTGGAACGAATGGATGAGATGCCGGTGAATGGCAGTTCCAGGACGGTACTCACTGTGCTTTATTTAGACCCTCCTCCTTTCTCCTGGGCTCACTCTTTTAATTTAGTCTCAACAACACTCTAGACAGGTTGTATATACTTCTACTATCTAATATTGAAATATGTCAGCTAAGTGTTCTATAAAAGACTATCACTTTGATTAGTGTGTATGTATTTCCAATGAAATACTTAAAGAAATGTCAATAAGGTGATTTTTTTAAAGAGCAAGTGGGGGAATGGCAGCTCTCTTACAATATCTAAAGTTGTCTAAAGGGATTAGATTTTCTTAACAAATATGACATACAAATGGGAAAAAACAGCATTACAATGAAAACATAGGCTTCCGTGTACCACAAAATGTTTTTATGCTGGCAGCTATGGGAGAACTTGAAACACTGCCTTCGACTCAGCAAGCTACTCCCAGTATAACCTTTATTACTTAACACTTGAGAATTTAGGGTTCTTCCTTTTGTTCTTGGTCCAGTCACTTCAGCGAGTATTCCCCTAAACCTACCTCTGTTCTTGGGTTCTGGAGAAATCAGGTACCTCTTTCCTGAATGTGTTCCCATGTCAAAATACCTGGTTCTAAATAAATATTTGTTCCATGATGTGCCAATGCTAACTCTGAATTTTGTCAGAGTTGCCCTCTTTAATTCAGTAGACCAAGACTCATCATGGAGTCTATAAAAAGTCAGCTAGTAAGGAACTAGGACACTAGAATACAGAGCAGCAATGCCTTTGCGCACACGGAATTTTTATGTCATACATATGGAAGGGACCCCAAAGCTCAAGAAAACAAGTGAGATAACCAGGCTACTATGCCTCATTTAATTGTGTTTCTCCAGCTACAGAACACTACATTTTCCTCCCTGACAGTAGTCAGGCCTCCACTACCATCCATTAGATCTTGTTTTCAGTGGAACCTGTTAGATATGATGTTATTTAGAAAACTGTAGGATTATGAGCTTTACTAGCAAGATTAATGTATGGCCTTATTAAACTTAATATCAGCCAGGCACCAGTAACTCACACCTGTAATCCTAGCTACTCAGGAGGCTGAGATCTGAGGATTGCAATTCAATGCCAACCAGGGCAGCAAAGTCCAAGAGACTCTTATCTCCAATTAACCACCAGAAAACCGGAAGTGGCACTGTGGCACTAGCTAGCCTTAGCAGAAGAGCTCAGGGACAGCATTCAGGCTCAGAGTTCAAGCCCTGTGACCAACCAAAAAAAAAAAAAAAACCATAAAAAACACCCTTAAAATCATGGGGTATAACAAAATATTGGGATACTTCTAAACCTCATCAGCGAGTGAACACTGCCTCCTCGCTGTCATATTCTCAAGAGGGAAAAAGGGACCTCTTAGCCCTGACCTTCAGGGCAGAAAATAAAGGTGAGCCCCCTTTAAAACTTACCCTCTAGAACAGATGATACTATGCAAAAGGAAGGAACTATACTTATTAACTGATGTATGCAAAGATAATCCCACTGTATATCACCTCTAAAACAACAATAAAGCAATTTAAAAAAAAAACTACCCTCTAACAAACAGCCTCTGACATATTGCCCTGGGAGGGGCCTGGTACAACCCCAGGAAGTGGGTACATGAAAGGAGCAAGCCTGCTTTTCCTTAGGGTCCTGTGACATATTTTCTTATAAATATATTTCATTTCAACAGCAACTTAAGAGGATAGAAATAGACAAGGTATGCAGGGACAAACCCTAGTCTAGTAAGAGGCAAAACAGGCAACGTGACAAAGGATTATACTGACAGCTCCACCATCACCCATACATGTGATTCTGTCCTATTTTTCTGGTTATATCAGCAAACTTAATATCCAAAATTAGAAGCAGAGAACTTCAGAGTTGAAAGAATTCTTTAAGCCTAATTCAGGGCAGCACTACCATATGGTTCTTCTGTGCAGTAGGATAAAGGCAGCTTGGCCTCACCACCTCCTGAAATGGGCCTTGCTCCCCCCTAAAGACAAACTATTCAAGTGTTTCCTCCCCACTGACTTGGCCACTGGTGACAGCTGCATCCAGCTTTCCTCTGCCCTCATAATGGAAAGCAAATGCCTCTGCACACAGCAGTCTCTGAATTCAAAGTACCATGTCTGCCACTTCTTTCAACTGTTTTCTTGTCCATACTTTCCTAGAACCAGAATATGGTTTTGGATAATACCTGAAAAATTAAAGATTTTAATAACTCTAAACTTATGAATAGGTATTATCCATCAGGTGAATAAGGAAATACAAAGGCACTGTGCTTCAAATTTCTTTGGCCATATTTGTCACCTCAGTCATGTTTACTTTAAAGATGTAAATCATCTACACTTTTCTCATATCGTATGGCATTATCTGCTTAACACAATGCTTTCACTTTACTATTAGAGAATAAAAATTGTAGTAAGTTTAAAAGATTAAGTAAGTCTTCAGATAATAAGAGCTCCTTGTTTATTCTGCATTGCTTTTTTAAGGAGAAGACAAGCATTACACCTTACATGGGAGTCCTTTCATTTAGATAACTGAAAATATAGATAAAAATAATATGAGAGTTGATTTCTTTGTTGCTTTGTATGTCCCTCCCCCACAGTATAACCCCCACTTTCACTGTATTTGATGTTGGTATAATTTATGGAGGGGAAGGGAAAAACAAATTGTTTAAATAAATAGGGATACAGGTGGACCCATTTGCAACAATGAGATGTACAAGTCATTATGCCAAAAAACGAACTTTACAACTTTGGTGGGGGTGAGGGGTGAGAAGGGGAAATAAAGGAGGAGGCAACAATGCCTGATAAGAAATGCACTCATTATCTTGCCCATGTAATTGTAACCCCTCTATATGGTATTTTCACAATAAAAATAATAATAATAATGAGAGCAAGCGGGGTAGCTAAGTTGGTAGAGTGCTTGCCTACCATGTACAATGTCCGAGGGTCAATCTCTGACACTGGGGAAAAATATATATCAAATACAATAAGCATTAAGACTATACTAAGTCACATGTGTACACACCACATTTCCTAACAAAGTAGTGATAAAGGCCATTGAGAGAAAGGTGCTCAGTGGTCAGGAAACAGGGCAAGAGACAAATGGAAATCATCTCATAGGTGAGGGACTATTTGTGCTTGTCAGTCCATAGGTTTAGAACAAATGACAAAAGATGAACTGCTGGGACTGGTTTTTTTTGTTTTTGTCAGTCATGGGCTTGAACTCAGGGCCTTGGTGTTGTCACTGAGGTCTTTTGCTCAAGGCTAGCATTCTACCACTTTGAGCAATAGTACCACTTCTAGTTTTTGAGTGGTTAACTGGAATAAAAGTCTGTCACAGAGACTTTTCTGCCTGGGGTGACTTCGAATCATGATCCTCAGCTCTCAGCCTCCTAAGTAGCTAGGGTTACAGGCGTCAGCCACCAGTGCTCGGCTGGGACTGGGTTTGGTATAGACATACCTAAACTCATGGGATCTAGGTGAAAGGCTGCCTCTTACTTCCAAGAAAAGCATCTCAGTTCTCTAGGGAACAGACTTGATCTAAAGGAGTATATGCCACCACTGTTGTCTCAGAAATGACTACATATATCACATTAAGCCAGAAGACTCTCTAGACTTTTCTTTAGAAAGAAAATGTGATTGCACATTGACATGTAAAAACTCCCTTTTTCACCAACAAGGAATAAGGAAGTCAGAAACTCAGGTTAACCTGGCAGACACTACCTGGGGCAAGGACTCTAACCTTCCAGACTCAGACAATCTTCCTGAAGACTGTTCTTTTCTTTTTCCATGACTTAAGTCACAGAAAAGTCTGTGTGGAGAAGCCTGCACAAGCTGTGTTTCCAGGGATCAAAAACAATTCCTTATAGTCACTGGGTCACCACAAATGAGTCCGATTCTTGGGGTAATGGGCTGTGCAAGGTCTGAAGAAGACGCCATCTTTCACAAGCCCAGAATCTTGGGCACAGCTAAGCAGAATTCTTACAGTTTTCAAGACAGCCATGGTTGTAATCTTCCCCTCTCTTATCTCACCCTTGAATTTAGAAAAACTAAGCCCAAGTGCTACAGGAAATGCTACCCCACCAAGCACATTAAAGGGAAAAGCCAATTCCCAGAAGAAAATGGCAAAAGCTATTCTTACCATGCAGGCTGTACTCCAAATGTCTGCAGGCGTACTGTAGCCTGCTCCTATCAAAACCTCTATGGATCTATACTGACGCGTCTGGATATCTTCTGTGAAGTGTTTATGCTGGAAAGGAACAGATATATTACCATGGAGGAACACAGACATTAAAAAAGAAAAAATGTCTTTTCACAATCATGACCAAAGAATAGAAAAAACTACTTACCACCCAACAAGCATTTCCCAGGTCAGCAATTTTTACTCTAATTTTATCTGCATTGCATGGATCCAGAGGGTTCACCAACAAGTCAGCTGCCCGGGTTTTTGCTGGCATGAGCAAATAGAAGAGCAGTTAGTGACTGGGACAAGTGGTTTAGGTGTATGAGCATAATGTTTGTCTGTCTGTCTCTCTCTCTCTCTCTCTCTTTAAAAAATCCTAGAATCCTGTTTTTAATCTTAATTAAATCTCTCTCCTTACCTCTGAAAAATATTCCACAGAAAGAGAATAAGGTGGGCTGCCAGAGGACTTCATGAACATTGTCTCACCCTTTCTCCTCACTATCTCTGGTTGCTTTATCTCAGGGCAATCAGCACTGCTGTGTTCCCAGTCTATGTCTTTGTGGCTGCTCCTTATTTGATCACAGTGCCTTCCTCTCATGGATCATACTGAGCTTACCAATGCATTTTTAAAGGAACATACGGATAAACAATACTGTTGCAGGTAACAAAATGTTTCACAGTAGCATGTAGTTCACCTGACCCAGCAAAACTGTCAGGCCATAGGTACCTGCATCTCAACACACAAGCAACCTCTATAGCTACAACACATACATGTATCAAGAGTTTAGATAAGAGTTGATTCATAAACCAAGATTAAAGGCAGAGTTTTGTGCAGGCAAGACTCCAGGATCAGCAGTCTCCTGAGTTGGCCTGTGCCAAAAAGACAACCTCTGCGGTTACTTACGAATTTGTTACCTACTAAGGTCACAGTCAGTTCCAAGGTAACCTGAGGGCTCTCGATAGCAGGCATAAAATCAGGTTTCCTAGGTTTTCTAGGTCCAGGGGAGCTTCTCAGCTAAGGCACAACTGTGCTGTATGTTAAGTACTGTTAACCAGGAGCAGATGGCAAAGAAAAATAACTTGGTAAGACCCAAGAAAAAGAATCCTGAAATGAGTCAGCCGGCCAACAAACTCAAGATTTCTGGTAAGGATGAAATGTAATTGGATTTTATTTTAGAAGTCACTTTGGAATGGTATTAATACAAAGCATTAAACTTGTATCTCAGATAGCCTGTTTGCTCACCCAAAGCTGAGCACTGATAGTATAAGCTAAACCTCTCTTAGAGTACACTGAGCTATGGAACCATGGTGCTCAAGCAATTTCAATTCCTCAGCAAACTCCACACAGGCCGAAAAACTAGCCTTACTAACAACAGAGTAGACAGTAGCAAAGTCCTCAGAGACTACAGCACCTATTATACTCCTAAGTCTCCAGAGGAGGAGACTTTTAGCCAATATTTGAACTCATAAGGCCTGTTCCTTAACTTGTGGGTCAATATAGTAGACTATATAGACACAGAGGGTCTCTTCTCGACACCAATTCTATGCCCATATCCTTCTTCACGGAGTGCTAATTCACAAGGGCCTCCACCAATGGCCAAGTAATAAAAGAAATACAGGAACTCAGAAAATGAGAAAGAGTAGCAGAGGGACCCAAGAGAAAGCAGAATATGTAAAGGGTTGAGAACAATGACCTAGCATAAACAGGACTATGCTAATGGATACAAGAAGGAGAACCAGCAAGAATCTGAAGAGGGAGGACCATTGTCTCCCAAAGAAACAACAACAACAAAAAAAAAAAAAACAGGAGAGTGAGGACAGCATTCAGCTCAGCTTCCCTCTGGAATCAGTGAAGGACCAGTGTGGGAGCATTGAGGATAACCAAGGGTGAGTTTCCCCTCTCCAAACAATGTAGGACAAGGAGCATACTACAACACATTCTGTAGTCCTCCTTCACGGCAGGAAGGATGGATTTCTTCTCTGAAAGATCAAGTAACAGAGTTGGCAGGTAATCTTAGAATGAAATGATTTGATCTCTTACTTCCTCTTAATTGGTGCTTTGGTTTGTTTTGTTGGTGCCAGTCCTGTGGCTCTAACTTGGGGCCTGGGCGTGTCCCTGAGCTTTTTTTGCTCATGGCTAGTGTTCTATCATTTGAGCTACAAGCTCTACTTTCAGCTTTTTTTGGTGCTTAATTGGAGATAAGACTCTCACAGATCTTCTTGCCCCAGTTGGCTTCAAACCATGATCCTCAAATCTCAGCCTCCTGAGTACATTCAGGATTACAGATATAGCCACCTAACTAAAGATACCTCTTTGTATCTATATATCCAATTTCACTGGAAGAAATCTACTTTTGGAGCCACCATCACCACACATTTGAATACAGTTTATTTGTAATATCCCTCATTTATGCTCACTAAACAATATCTCTTTGATGCTATTATTCTCTGGTTCAAGTTTGCAAATTAATTATCCAGCTTACAATGTGCCCTAAATAATACTAAGTAATCTCTCTATAATTTAATTATTTAAGAACACAACAGGAGATGAAAAGGAGTGTAATTCTGATTTCCTTTCTCAGTGTGATCAGTGTCTGTGCTAAGGACCTATCTGCAACCCGACACAAATCCTCATGGACTCAGGCATGCTGACTCCTGCTGCACAATCATTCCCTTTCTGCTTTGCTAGGAATCACCTCATCTCTTCTGATAAAATCACCCCTTTGGTGACCTGTCATAGCCTTTTCTTCTGAGGACACTAGCACAACTGACCACCTGGTGGTGGTTCCTTCTAAAATAAAAAGTCTGCAACTGCTATCTGCTTCTACTGAGGAGAAGTTAGTAGGAAGATTCAGAGAGAAAAGATGAGTCACTTTTTGATAAACTGGACTCTGGCAAACCTGTAGTAATTCTTTCCATGTCAGTCTATTCTAGCAACTAGTAAGACAGTGCGCCAGCATTGCTAAAGCATGGTGGTATAACTGTCATCACATGTGTACAGCACATCAACTCCAAATTTTAAGAACTCTTAAAGGAAAGTATGCACATCCTCTATCTGGGTATGCATCAGTATCCAGCCCAAGGAATGACAGAAGTAGCTTATTTAATGCCAACCTGAGCCTTACTAGGGATAGACACATTCATAATTAAGAGACTCACGTACTTGTTAAAAATATGGTCAGGCCAGGCGCAGGTGGCTCATGCCTGTAATCCTAGCTACTCAGGAGGCTGAGATCTGAGAATGACAGTTCAGAGCAGCCCGGGCAGGAAAGTCCATGAAACTCTTATCTCCAATAAACCACCAGAAAACCAGAAGTGGTGCTGTAGCTCAAGTGGTAGAGCACTAACCTTGAGCTGAAGAGCTGAGGGACAGCACTCAAGCCCAGAGTTTAAGGCCCATGACCGACAAAAAATTTAAAAAATTAAAAAAAAAATATATATATATATATGGTCAGTTAACTTGAAGGAATGAGTAATTCATATATCATATCAGGTATTATATGTAACCAACAAAAACAAAGCAAAGCACAAGAATGAATATCAAGGCAGGCACTGTTCAGGAGAGGTCTTTGCAGTGACGGTGACATTTAAGAGTGACAGGAGAGAAAAATTCTAGGCAAAGGAGAGAGGAAGTACAAAGGTCTTGAGGCAGAATCAGGCTCAAAATTCTAAGAAACTTTAGGAAGAAGACATCATGAATGGTATAGACCAAGCCTGGATGGTGCCCAAGCACAGAGTTCAAGCCCCAGGATCAGCATGCATGTGCTTGGGTGAGCGCACGCGCACGCACACATGCACGCACACGCATACACACACACACACACACACACACACACACACACACGGTATCTATCAGTGGGCCAACTTAGACAAGTACTAAAGATATTGCTACTCCTCCTCCATGTAGACCTGCAGCCAAAATAAAATACATACCTCTCTGCTTCACTGAGAGTGTCTGTCATATGTGAGAAGCCAAGGCAAGTGCTATGGCTGTAATAGCTGACAACCTACAAGGAATCTGTCTCTTCTGTTGTTGCCACTCCCCAGCTTTGGTGCTAATCCTAGTGTCCCTGAACTTTTTTACCCAAAAGCTGTGCTCCACCATAGCTCCCTTTCTGGCTTTTTGGTGGTTAATTGGAGATAAGAATCTCACAAACTTTCTTGCCTGGAGTGGCTCTAAACCATGATCCTCAGATCTCAGCCTCCTGAGTAGCTAGGATTATAGGCATAAAACACCAACACACAGCTTCAGATTACTCTTGGAGGAAAAGGAAAAAAAAACCTACATTCTTCAACCTGCCATTAAGTTCATTTTTCAGACATCTAAATCTGGCCCCAATCTTTCTTGTGCTATTCTCTAATGTGTTACATTTGACTCTTTTAGTAAGCTGGCCTGGGAGCCATCAGAAAAATAAAACCACCAACCTCCTTCATGGGATCAAGAGTAGGGGGAGAACTACCCATGGTTATCAAATAATAACTCTCAAACAAGTACCCCTGCCCTGCTGCAACCCTAAAATTCAATGATACTGAAAAGGATTGTGTGGCAAGAGACTGGGATCAATAGCAGGGGTGGGGGATAATATTGTCATAATATTGTCGTAACAGAAAACATCTAATTTATCTCTGAGAAGATAAATACTCAAGTAGTTTAGGAATAAAGTATCCTAGTATCTATAGCACACATAGCAAAATGTTCAGTTTGAGTCTAGGTGGAAGATATATACTTTATAGATACATACTTTATAGAGGTGTTCTAACAATCCTTTCCTGTGCTTTAGTAAATGATACTGGTTACTCATGGATGTAGACACCCATTGTGTAGACTGCTCAAGATGATGGAAACTGAAAAATCATGAGCAGAGGAGTAAGTTACCTGATTAGTATTATTATAAACACACACACACACACACACACACACACACACACACACACACACACACACAAGCAGCCAACTGGGAGAGCAATTCAAAAGGCCGATAGAGATGGAGATTGTAGCTACAGAGAACACAAAGACCAGTTAGGAGTCTCTGCATTAGTGCAGGCAAGCAATGACCATACTCACTTAGGGCTAGGGCAAGGAGAACCCTATTTAGAAGCTATAACTGGATGCATTACATACTAGATATTAGAGAAAGAAGAGAGAATATGGAAGATGATAAGGAAATCCAGTGTTTTTGGCTAGCTGGCAGGGAAAGTTGTATTCAGTTTTCTATATGGTAAGTTTGAAGTTATTTTATGATTTCAGAGATAAAGTTCTCATCCCTCTGCCAAGATTGTAATGCCTTGGACCCTAGACTTGTTTACTCTTTCAGTCTCTGAACAATGTCTTGTCACACAGATTCTCAATAGGTACAGAATGGCTTTCTACATGGCTGCCTTCTTCACTCAATAGCAGTTCCTATAGAGTTAGCTCTTGCTGGCTACAAGTACTATGTTAAATACATTACTTTATCTTCAGTAGCCTCAACAGGGCCTATTTAACACACTCCTGAGACTCAATAGTTACCAAGTAGAAGAATAGAGATTAGCTCATCTATGCTACAGGCCCAGGTCAGTTGGGGAAATACTGGAACATTAGCAGAATAGGCTAAGAACAAGATGTCACTAACACTTAAAAAGCCTAAAGACTAGGAAATTTCCCCAGAAGAGCAGCAGAACAAAGGATCGCTGAGATTGAGGTGAAGCATGCAACAGAGAGTGGAGTGGAACCAAGATGTGAATCATACCCTCTTCTAACTAACCTAAAACTGCTAGTGATGCTTACCCCCTTAAACAACTTGGGCAGGGCTAACAACACAGCCTTCTGCCAATCAAAAGATGTAAACAGCTCAGGGATGGGGTGCATGGGTATCTCTTGTTTTGTTTTCCCGAGAGAGTGTCTTGCAGTCCTAGGTCAACCAAGGCTGGCCTCAAACTCTTAACCTTCCTGCTTATAACTCCTGAGCATTGAGATTCTGAGTATTCTTTAAATCTAATCAACAGGTTCTGAATTAAATAATCTGTATCCAGTGGGATTTTTACATTTGCCTTCATTAGAAGGCACTCATTTACTACAATTTTTTTTCTACTTCTCTTTTGTCAGGGGAATTGCCCTCCTCCCCTGACACACACCCTTTTCAGGCCTAAACTATACCTACCTACCTATTCCACTCCCAGAAAGAGTAATGATGTAGTGAACAAGAGTGGGGCCAAGCATTAGGGGAGGCCTGAGACCAGAATCTACAAGTCACTGGCAATTGACGGTGCTGAACCAGACTCCTTGCCTGGCCTCAGATACTGCCCACATGTGGTCCTGCCAGTGCTCATTAAGACCAAGGTACACACATGTGAAAATTGTTATATAGTTTTATTTATGGGGGCTGGGAAGGTGGCTCAGTGGTAGAGCGCTTGCCTTGCATGCTCGAGGCCCTGGGTTCGATTCCTCAGCCCCACATAAGCAAAAAGAAAAAAGCCGGAAGTGGCGCTGTGGCTCAAGTGGTAGAGTGCTAGCCTTGAGCTGAAGAGCTGAGGGACAGC